CATCACCTGGCGCAGCAGCAGCCGCCGCCCCTCCCCCCGCGGCGCTGTCGCGAGCCCGCGCTCTGTCGCGACAGCGGCGGCGGCAGCGCGGAGCGGCCGCAGCAACATGGCGGCGGTGGGGCCCGCCCGCGGCGCGGCCGCTTTAAGAGCGAGGGGGGCGTGGCTTACAGTCCTTAAAAGGGCAATCAGTGTAAAAAAGGGAGGCGGGGCCGCGCTTAAAGCGGCGATGCCGCGAGGGGTGGGCCCGGCCTTAAAGGGGCGATGTTGGAATCTTTGTGTTTTAATTAATTTATTGATAATTTTGTGGGGTTATTAAGGAATTGATGATTTGATGGGGTTATTAGGGATTTATTGGGGCGTTAGCGAGTGGTTTGGTGGGTTTGTTTTGTGTTGGTTAAAATAATTTATTGTAAATTTATATTTTAATTGTGGTTTTAATACATTTGCATAAATTTATTGTATATTTATATAATATACAGGATTATTATTTCGTTTTCTCTATTTTTAAAATTTTATCTGTTATTTATTTATATTTTTTTAAAATTTTAGCTGTTATTTTGTTTTATTTATTTTTAAAATTTTATCCGTTATTTATTTACATATTTATCCATATATTTCCATTTTTTATTATTTATTATTATATATTTCCAATATTTATTTACATGCTACTTTAATAAATAAATATTTAAGTGTTTAAACTGCATTTATATTAAATTTCGAGCTAATTTATTTATTAATTTAAAATTAATTATAATTTTAAGTCAATTAATTAAAATTCCCACTCAGGAGCCGTTGCCCCTTTAAGAAGGCTCCGCCCACATTTAAAAGCCCCGCCCACTTTCCCATAAAACTCATTAATTACTCCTTAATTAATACCCAAATTCTCTTTATTAGCGCTAAGCAAAGGGGGCGTGGTTTACAAAGGGGGCGTGTCCGCGGCGATGACGTCACCGCTCCTCCGATGACGTCACCAGGAAGGGCTGGGCCGGCAGGGGGCGGAGCCGCTCCCCGCAGAGCCGCAGCCAATGGGGGCGCACGAAGAGCAGCGAGGGGCGGAGCTCCAGCGCCTGAGGGGGCGGAGCTTGCGGTTAAAGGGGGCGGGGCTTGTGGGAGTGCCCAGCGAAGCCACGCCCCCTTTTTTAAAAGCCACACCTCCTCGAAGGCGGGGTCCCAGCCCTGTGACGTCACCACGTGCGTCACTGATTGGTCCAGGGAGGGAGCCAGGGAGCTGCGGGACCAGTGGAAACCAGTAAAAACCAGTATGGACCAGTACGGACCAGTACGGACCAGTATAAACCAGTATGGACCAGTATAAACCAGTAAAAACCAGTATGGACCAGTACAGACCAGTATGGACCAGTCTGAGCTCCCAATCCCCTCCCAGTCCCTCCCAGTACAAACCAGTAACCCCAAACCCCCTTTAAGCCTTTCCCAGCCCCTCCCAGTCCCCCCCAATCCCCTCCCAGTATAAACCAGTCCAACCCAGTATAAACCAGTATAACCCAGTCCCTCCCAGTCCCTCCCAGTTCAAACCAGTCCAGACCAGTCCCTCCCAGTATAAACCACTCCAAACCAGTACAAACCAGTCCAAACCAATTGAACCCAGTATAACCCAGTATAACCCAGTCCAAACCAGTATAAACCAGTCCAACCCAGTCCAACCCAATCCAAACCCACCCAAACCAGTATAAACCAGTTCAAACCAGTCCAGACCAGTCCAAACCAGTCCAGACCAGTATAAACCAGCATGAACCAGTATAAACCAGCCCAAACCAGTATGAACCAGTATGAACCAGTATAACCCAGTATAAACCAGTCCAAACCAGTCCAAACCAGCCCAAACCAGTATGAACCAGTACAACCCAGTATGAACCAGTATGAACCAGTATGAACCAGTATGAACCAGTATGAACCAGTATAACCCAGTATGACCCAGTATAACCCAGTATGACCCAGTATAACCCAGTATGACCCAGTATAACCCAGTATGACCCAGTATAACCCAGTATGACCCAGTATAACCCAGTATGACCCAGTATAACCCAGTATGACCCAGTATAACCCAGTATGACCCAGTATAACCCAGTATGACCCAGTATAACCCAGTATGACCCAGTATAACCCAGTATGACCCAGTATAACCCAGTATGACCCAGTATAACCCAGTATGACCCAGTATAACCCAGTATGAACCAGTATGAACCAGTCCAACCCAGTATGAACCAGTATGAACCAGTCCAACCCAGTATGAACCAGTATGAACCAGTCCAACCCAGTATGAACCAGTATGAACCAGTATAACCCAGTATGACCCAGTATAACCCAGTATGAACCAGTATGACCCAGTACAACCCAGTATGAACCAGTATGAACCAGTATGAACCACTATGAACCAGTATGAACCAGTATGAACCAGTATGAA